CCCTCGCCCCAGCCCCCACCGCCCCCGTCGGGGCCGCGGCCGGCCCCATGCCGGGCTGCCCTACGCTGCTAGGTGAGTGCCTTCGCCGCCACTTCTCCTCGTAGTTCTCGCTTTGTTGTTGTTGTTGTTGTCCTTGTTGAAGCGCTGCGGGGCGCCTGTGGACCGCCGGGTAGGCAGCGTGCAGCACGCCGGTGCCCGCGCGCCCGGGAGGTTGCCTACACCGCCAGGGGCTTCGGGACGCGCCGCCCCTTGGCAGCCGCGCTTTAAAGCAGTCTCGCTCTCTCTTTTCCCCTCCGCCCCCCGACAATCTTTCCGATTTCCCCTCCCAAAGTTGAGACTTCTCACCCCTTTCACGACGGCGCTCGCTGGTCGCGGGGCCCGCCCGGCGGCCCAGGGTCCATTAATAAAACGCCGCCTTTTGAGACCGCTAATGGCGATGGATGACAGGGCGGCTTGTTCCGCGCGATCTGCCGCTCAGCCGTGGCGCCCTCCTCCCCACTCCCCCCTCCCCGGCTTAGTTCTGGGGGTGTTTTTACCCCCTGCTCCTTTTCTATCTCCCCGCCCCCGCTGCGCTCTCTTCCTCTCCATTTTTTCGAAGTCACTCCTATATACTTTTTAACGCTCTCTCTCTCTCTCTCTCTCTCTCCCCCACCCTCATTCCATTTCTCTGTTCCCTCTTCTCTCTGTATCTCTCACCTCTTCTCTCTCAGAGCCACCCGCAGAGACACCCCTGCCGCGCCGCGGGAGAGGTGTACTGTTAAGTGAATACACACATGCGCGCGCGCGCGTCACGTACGAGCAACTAGCGCGCTTTAATCTGTTGGCCGAGGCTTATTTAATGAACTGCCTGCGTTTGAAGCGCTTGGTATACTCGCCGTAAATATTTTTCTTCTCGCCATCACTAAAATTGAGACTATACCTCGTTTCTTTTCGCGTCGAAAAAAATACATTCCTTTTTTTTCTTTTCGCAGCTTACCCATTATTTCAAGGGAAACTTTTTAAGCGCGTTGGAGCCTTGGTTCGATAGCGCCCCTTGTGCACGCTGCTCCGACCCGGCTTGCTCTAGACAGTTGCTTGCCCAAGAATTCCACAAGTATCGGTTTACGTTGCGCACCGCGGTAGTTCCCACCGTGGAGGTAGTGAGACTCGATGCCCTCCCGCCCTCAGTTCCTCCACGATCAGTAACAGAGAGCAACCATTCAGCAGTCCTCCCCTTTATGCTTATTTCAATGTTTGTTAACCGAATCTCACAGAAGTTTTCGATCCAGATAGTGTGTCATGTAGGAGCTTCGTAGCTTCTCAACTCACAGTTTCATTGAGTGGTGTTGTTCTTACGACACTTCAACTTTTCTCAACGGGCATTTTCTTCCAACCACCCCTTGTCTGTTATTTGCAGTAGTGAATGGGCACTTCTCTGGAGGCGAGTCCTTGCGGGCGGTGCCTTGCAGCCAGGTCCTGGCTGAGGGAACTGGTGCTATTCGTCTCGCTTTGAGGTGCCTCATCGATCAGCCCAGCAGGCGCGATAGAGAGGCCGCTCCCGAAAGAGATGAGTAAACAACTCCTGCGGACTGTAAACCTCCCCTCCCCTTCCTCCTCGGTAAACAGTTTACCCGGCTGGGCTGGCTCGGCCGGCAGCCTGCACTGCTCCTCCTGCCGCACGACCCATTCTCCTCCCGGACTGACTTTACGAGCGGAGGAGTGTGATGAGATTCCCTGAGACACGCCAAAGGGCTGCTCGCTGCTCATTGTTTATTATCATCCCCTAATTCCTCGCCCTTCCCGTTGTTACTTGATTGTTTTTATTTTTTTCCTGCTCTGCGCCGAAAGTAGTAGACGGAAGGAAGTGGTGGGCCAAGGAGAGGGAGCAATGCCAAACAAAACAACAATATAGAACGGTGGCGTGGGTCGGCGTGATATATCTATCTTCCTACTTGCGGCTTTACCTGCTGGACTAAGTCTTCTCACGCGGCCGCCGCCCGGCGCCCGCTTTGTAGATAAACAACGATACACCTATCACAGGCTCAGCAGCCCGGTCTCGGGAGGATCCGCTCCGAGGAGAGAGAGAGAGAGATAAAGTGATAGGCAAAGGCAGCGGTGGAGCGAGCAGGACCGAGCAGGACGCACGAGGACACTCTCTTACTCTGTCCCTCTTTCCTCGTTCTATACCCTCTTCACGGTGGCCGTGCGAGGTAAGTTTGTTTCAGCTCCTCGGGAGTGCGAAATAAACTACCGGATGTAAGTTTCTCGACAGTCGTTTAGTCTGGCTGGAGCAAGGGGGCGGCTCCGCGCTCCGTATCCCGGCGTAATTGTTTCTAGGGAACGGCGACCGCAACGGCGGAGGGCGTTGGCCCACGAGCATTGTAATAATAATAATAATAATAATAATAATAATAATAATAATAATAATAATAATAATCGGAAATGCATCATTGTTTTCTTGCCCAGCATGATCTCTTGGGACGTATGGCTCCTCCAGTGGGCGGCGAAAAAGGAACGAGGTGCCAGGTGGGAAAAGCAGGGGGAGGCCAAAGCTGTTCGCTGTATCGGTACGGGGATCGAAGCACGAAATACTGCCGTCTAAAAGTGGCTGCTTGTCCCTGACGTCCTAGACAGGCAGAGGGCACCCTCCCTCGAAAAACCGTCCTTCCCGAGAGCCTCCTCCTCCTCCTCCTCCTCCTCCTCCTCCTCCTCTATATCCCCGAGGGACGAGGCTTCTCGCGATCGCTGTCGGGACGACGAAACCATGCTACCTTTTTCGTCTCCCCAGGAGATTCGCTCGCTTCCGTGGAGAAATGATCAGAAGGCCATGATTATTATCGAGATCGTCAGCCTAGCCGGCGTTGCTGCGGGAGACACGCGAGATGCCAGTGCCAGTCGTTTTATTGGGAGGTGGAAAACAAAATGGGGCGCGGCGGAAATTTGTTGGAAAGCTTATTAGAGCGGCTTGTGGTTCCGCAGTATGTCATTGTCCCCGCGACATCGCCTCTCTATAGAGCGTCCTGCGCACTCTCATTTATTCCGCATAGTGGGAGAGGCAAGCGCGAGGGGGAAAATATCGAGCCCCCTCCCATTTTCTCCACATTTCCCGTCTCCTCGCCGTGAGTAAAATATATCGAGCCTCCTTCATAATTTTTTCCCGTCTCGGGAGAGCGGCGCTGCTGCTGCTTGTGCTGTGGTGGTGGTGTCCATGACGCCTCAATCACTAGGCTAGGCTCGAAGCCTTCGACGGCAGCGCAGCGGCTGCCTGGGGAAGGGCGGCGGGGTGGGCCAGGGAGAGAGGAGTCTGTGCCGTTCCAAAATTGGCAGCTCAACAAACTTGGCGAAGTTGAAGCGCGTCGCTGCTCGTCTCGCGTCCCGCCAGCGCCGACCTTCATTTATCACGACGTCGTCGCGCCACGCACCGCTAACTATGGGCGCTGGGCACCCCTCTATTTAGATAACAAAAAAACCTAGGAAAAAAAATAATAACTACACGTGTCTAAGAGGAAGATTTATAGGTTACAGTATTAAATTGTTTTACTCTGGCGGTAAATATCAAAGTGTTTAATGTGATTGATACCACCGGATATCTTGGTGTGATTCTAAGCGTTCTACATCAACTTTTTATTAAAATCTTCGAATTCATCATTAAATTTCATCATTTTCAGGTTTTTGAGGTTTCGGGAGTTCTTACTTCCTCCCTAGTGCCTGTATAGTCGCGCACACCACGACTGCTCCTTTTACATCAGTAAGAGTTTCGTCCGCTCTATATCTCCACAGCTCAGCAGCTCTCCACACGTCCATCTCTTGGTGCCGACGTGGCCTTGCTCAATCGCACTGACCCCACCCGTCCTCACCCCTACCCAGTCCCGCACCGCAACCCTTTTCTCCTCTTTATTTTCCCACTTCCTTTTCGCCGCCGCCGCGGCCAAGATTTTTTCCGGTTCCTAGTCCGGCATTCCCCGAGGGCCGTTTCCCGCGGTGCCGCCTCGCACCAGAGCTGCGCCGCTGGCCGCACCCCGCGGACCTTTTCCTTCCCCGTCCATTCACGCCCCTCTGGGGACGCGTGCACAGCAAAAGAAAAGATTTAGTCACCACAGCCGGAAAAGTACTGTAGTTCTGAGGAGGGCCGCTGTAACACTGGTAAAACTAGCCAGGACCTTCGGTCCTTATGCTGATCTCGCCTCTCTCTCTCCCTATATATATATATA